CTACTGAAAAGCATAATCTATTTTCACACTTACCTAATTAATTTAATAATCATAATTTATCATTAGATTGCTCAACTACCAAGTGTAAATGGGTTCGCGTTGATGATGCAATACTTTATTGTCTTTCGCAGATTAGTGCATAAATTGAGTCTACTTGTTTTTTTCTATTTTCCTGTTTATTTGTTCGATTTGAGTTCAACAGTAAAGGACATTTGTCCACCGTCGTCTTCTGGTGGAACCGACCTTCGAGTCTCTTCACGCAACACTTTCACACGAAATGGAATTAAGCTCAACAATGATGAAACAAGAGAGTCCTCGAAACCCAACTTTTCTTCTTATATATTATAATTTCATGCCTAAGCAATTTATTGTCGTGTTTTTTTTGCTATTAATTCAGACGTTCAACGGGATTTCTTGTCGGCCATTCTTTGGAGTTTATAAAAATCCTCCGCCGTCAGCATCCTGGCCAGATCACGCCGGAGCCTAGATAGCTTATTCCTCTCCGGATCATAGATTTCGTGTACCTTTTGAAAGAGGGCGTGGCGAAAGATGTCATTAATCCTATTGAATGGTAGTGTCTCTTAAAGTCACAAGATCCAGGAGTGACATCCTGACGTTGCCAACAGTTTAAAAAAGGTCAGATGGTATGATTAACTTGCAATTGTCTTCGTTGTTCGGGTGTATTCAATGAATGGTCTGGCAATTTTGCTACCATAATTTACACGTAGACACGAAGACCATGATGTTGTGGCCTCTATTTTGGTGGCAGTCTCCTTTCGATGTGTAGTGGCAATTTTACCTTGTTTTTGCAACTTGATCATTTTGGTCAGTTGACTGGAAATGATTACAAGCAAATAAATATGAAATTTGTAATATTAAAACTTAATATAAGTGCTCTGGGCCGAATCTTTCTTAAACTTTCCACTTCCTGGTCTCGGTGTTGTATGTTGTCAAGAAAGTGACGTCTTAGTACCTCCGACTCCGTAACCCCTCGTGTGATTGTAAGAGGAGTTATGTAGGAAACTCGCATTTATAGCTTTGCTAAACATCTCTCTATCCGGATTCGTACACCCTCCATTAGTCTGTACATCCGCCAATGATAAACTTTTATTATTTTATAAGTCCCGTGCGAAAGTAGTTGTTAAATACATTCTAGATACGAAAAGTGATCAGGTTTTCATTA